TCGTGTAAACTGCTCGCGACCGTTTTCAATAATTGGAGTCGATTATTGTGGTCCTTTTTTTTGTTAAAGAAAAAAGATATCGCAATACAAAGAATATAAAATGCTATGTCGCAGTATTCGTTTGTTTTATTACCCCCGCGGTACATCTTGAATTGGTGAGTGATCTCACTACTGATGCCTTTCTTGGTAGTTTGAAAAAATTATTCGCTCGTCGTGGAAAAGCCAGCAAAATCTATTCTGATAATGCTACTAATTTTGTTGGCGCAAGCAGACAATTAAAAGAATTAGATCAATTATTAAATTCAGTCGATCACAAACAAAAGTTAAAACATTTTTGCGAAAACGAAAAAATTACTTGGAATTTCAGTCCTCCTCGCGCACCGCACTTTAGTGGTTTATGGGAGGCTGCCGTAAAGTCGTTTAAATACCACTTTACTCGCACAGTAGGGACTGCTATTTTGACTTTCTAACAATTGCAAGTTTATGTCTATGAAATTGAGGCAATCTTGAACTCACGTCCTCTCACTCCAATCTCTTCCGATCCTAATGATCTTCGTCCATTGACACCTGGTCATTTCCTAATTGGTTGCCCCTTGACAACACTACCTGAGGAAAACCTGCTGGACGTCAAGCCTAGCCGATTATCCCTCTGGCAGCACGCACAACAAATGAGACAACATTTCTGGTAGCGTTGGCAAAAAGAGTATGTCAATGAACTTATCACCCGCAGCAAATGGAAATCAGGTTCCTCAGAAATTAAAATCGGTACCCTTGTTGTCTTAAAAGAAGACAATTTACCTCCCTTGCACTGGAAATTGGGGCGCATCTACGAGACACACCCTGGACCAGATGGAGTGATTCGAGTGGTCACCGTGAAAACTACGAATGGAACCTACAAACGTTCTATTAAACAATTGTATCCTTTACCAGTTGAATCTTCACAGTGAATTAATAGACTGTAACAATTGACGCAGATGTTACAGAAGTGAACTAAGTGCTACGCTATAAATGACTATAAGACTTTATACTGAACTTTATTTTTATTATTGTACAATGTTCGTTCAAGGTCCCCGGCATGTTTGGTGCATACTAGAAAAAAAACTAAAATCATAAAAACAAATCTTTTCTTAATCCCTATTTTTCGTCAAAAATCATGTACACTTTATTGTAGTTATTTACAGACAATTTTACACTTTTAAAAACTACTTCAGTCTACGCCATATTAATACAATTGCCCTTAAGAAGACACCGAGTCCTCGATGTTATCCGTAAAAGAATTTAAGTTTATTACAACACATTTCTTCAAATCCGCTCTATACCTGCATTTCGCATCTTAAACTTGTTCCCTTTCCAAAAACTATTTCGAACCCTATGATCCCCACTCTATTTTTTAATTTCCCCTCAAAATCTCCACCCACAACCATCTCTCACACAAAAATTAGATGACATTTAGTCCCCGAGTTGAACACACACTTTTCTCGAAATGAATTGTCGGTTTCTCAATTGTACACTAATCTTGTATTAATGGATGCAATTAATAAATGAATTGTGTTGATAATGTAAATTCACAAGTTTTATATTGATTCATTTATCCCGACTTTAACAATAACGAACAAATGTTTAATGTCTAAACAACCTGACAAGATGTAAATTATAATTATAATAATAATGAAACTTCATGGATTTGATATAATTTTTCTAAATAGGGGTAGATATCACCCCATCGGTAATTTTGTTAATTAATTCATTTTTAAATAATACTTTCTTAAGACCAAACAAGTTTTCCATTTTTTTTGATATTTTAGGGCAATTTCACTTATCTCTTTCATTTTCGAAAATTTACAAATACTTTACAACCCTTTAAAAAACACCCCCTTACATTTGCCTAAACCTACATTTATCAAAATTACACCCGGGATCGTTCAAATATATTTTTTTTTCAAAGGCACTTCAAACAGACTAATGTACCAATTTTCTCGTCAAAAATTGTCCAATATCAACCCTTAATGTTAATTTTAGGGGTGAGCATTTTTCACAGATATTTATTTATACTAAAACAACAAATTACAAAAGGATATGTACATTTTTTTACGTATAATTTGTTGTGCTTGTCGAAAAACCATTTTTTGGGAACGAGTTACGCACTCGTTGCGCGTTTTCCCAGAACGATTACATTGAAATTTTAAGTGGCACAATGTTATACCACCCAGATTTCTTTTCGAATGTTAAATAATGATCGCTCAAAAAGTATTATAAGAAAATTGATGATTTTCAAAAATCAGCAAAAATGTAGTTACACTTATGAATAGCTCATTTTCTCGCATATAACAAGTGGCACACTTGTCTAATACACATTTTTTAATCCTTCAGAATCCATAAATGAATGTCAAAAAACCCCAAGCATTAAAAACGATTGCTCAAAAAGTTATCGTTAAATGAAAATTAGATTTAATGCGAGTTACATCAGGATTTTCTCTATTTCTTCGATTTCAGTGAAGAAATATGTTGTTTAAATATCTAATTTTGCCTAACAAGACCATTTTTTATTTTTCACACTCGTGAGTAGTATTAACAAATGTAAATTAAATGTGAATTGACAATTTGGAGGTTTTTTGCGGCACCGATATCGCAGTACGCAATTCGTAACCAGCTCGTGAGATTTCCCCATGAGTATTTAACCACGAAATATCGTTAGGTTTTATCAAAAACTGTGGGAGAGGGAGGGGGTTGAATTTTTTTTTAAATATGAACTGTGCACTTTTGAAGAGTTCCCTACTGAAAATCCCTGTATAAGATCTTGTACAATTTCCTGTACAGGATCAGCAACTGAACTTGTACAAGTTCTGACCAGTTCCTGTACAGGAAAATGCATACGAATTTGGAACAAGTTCATGTGTGAGATCTTGTACAAGATCTGGTGCAAGATCTTGTACAAGAAAGATACTTGTACAAGAAAATGTACATGATCTTGTACAATTTTATGTATAAGTAATTGTACATGAACACGTTCATGTTCTTGCACATGAAATAGTTGTAAAAATTTTTTTTTAATAAAATTTAAGATTTTGATAATTTTTAACCATTAAGATTCGTAACTCATGCATGCTAAAAACTATTGCGCAGCTGTAAAGGTTAAAGTAAACTATTGCGCAGCCTTTGAATTTTTTAATTTTTAGTAAAGAAAAACATGAATTAACATGTGCAAGAACATGGACGTGTTCACGTACAAGTACTTATACATGAAATTGTACATGAACATTTTCTTGTGCAAGCATCTTTCTTGCACAAGATCTTGTACAAGATCTCACACATGAACTTGTTCCAAATTCGTATGCATTTTCCTGTACAGGAACTGGTCAGAACTTGTACAAGTTCAGTTGCTGATCCTGTACAGGAAGTTGTACAAGATCTTATACAGGATTTTCAGTAGGGTTATAACTTTCACACAATAAAATGAAAAAATTTTGACGTGTCTTTTTTCCGACCGTTTTTTTTCCTGCTCTTTCAAATGGTAAAAAAAGGTCTTCAAAAAATTCAAAATTTGTCCCTTTTTTGATATTTTCGAGATATTAATTAATTATAATTAACGATATAAAAAAATGAAATATTCTACAAATGAATAAAGTTATCGCAATTTTGAAGCTACTAATCAAAAGCTAACGTAATTCCGCATCGAACGAGGTTAATATGAAGTATTTTTGTTAAGTCGATTTTTTATAAATAATTGTTTTTAAACAATCTATTGAACGAAAATACTTTATATTGGGCTCGTTGTATGCGGAATTACATCAACTTTGTAAAAAAAAATTTTCAAATCAAAATATAAAAATTTTCTATGAATTATCCTAAGTAGCACGTAATATTACAGTAATATTACAGTAATATTACACTGATATTACCCGGTAATACTACTGTAATATTAAAATGTCCGCCTCATTGTAATATTAAATTGTAATATTGCACAGAAAAAAACTGAACTCAGAATGAATGTGTAGGCGGCTCATTTTGATGTGCAACAAAAATAAACCAGGTTGATGGCGCCACTATCTATGTCTTTTAGCATTGGCTCATTTTGATTTGCAACAAAAATGAAACTAGATTTTTTCTGCGTACAGTAATATTACAAAAAAATTTCGAAAACCACTTAAAGATATTTGACTGATTAATTATTATCTTTTTGTGTGTTATCTTAAAAAACTTTAAAAATTTTATGTATTTCAAATAAGCGTGTAATATTACAGTAATATTACTGTAAAGTTACTGTATTATTACCATGAGTCGGACATTTTAATATTATTATAATATTACGTGCTACTTGGGATAAATCCCCCAATTTGAAAAACACGGTTTTGAGAAAAACGAGTTTAGTTTCTTGTTGAAGAAACTTTAAGGTTTTAGATACTTACGGCTATTTAGAGCTAATAAGAGATTTTTGGATCATAAAGTAGACCTTCAACAGTAATGCTTTTAAGTTCGTCCGATTTATGTCAGATACTGTACAGTGTTGGTGCGATATTGCAACAGTAGTTAATTTTCAATTGGGATGTTTTGGTTTCACGTACTAAAAATATTCAAATATAGGTTATAGCGGAAATAGAATTAACGTTGAGAATTTAAGGAAACTTGGTCCACTATTAGATAAATGTTTGAAAATTATATAGCTAATTTTTGTAGACCTCTAGATTCTTGTGAAAAAAGTTATGAGCTTTTTTGTTTTTTAAGAATCAACATTGTGTCTTATGGGAATGTTTTTTCATACATATTTAGTCACCACAAAGTAATTAACGTTTAATGCAAGAATACACTGTCAAAATTCAAGTTAAAGTTAAGTCAAAGTCACAAATAACACATTCTAAATTACGATTCTGTCGACGGAATTAGTAAAATTACAAATTGAAAATTAAAAATATTATGTTTAAAATATTGAATATTTTTTCTTAAATTTTAATTAAAGTTTCTAAATATTTCTAATTAATAAGGGTGTTTAATGTATTTTTTAGCTGATATAACATCCAGAGTAAAAACTGAAGATGAAGAGAGTTGTTGTTCGACTTGCAGTACATCGAGCAGTTCCGATGAAGCAACAGCATATACCTTACCACCTAGACGTGCCTATGGAGGTGTAAGAATTTCTTATGTGCCAAATGATGCTGTTGCTTGTTCTCGACATCGAGCACTATCTACTGAAACTTCTTATCGTAATCAAAAGGACGCCGAAAAATGCATTCTATCTTGATCAAAAGTTTTAATTATCTTAATTTTTTATATTTGTTCATTCTAGATTAACGATTATTATACGCTTAGGTACAAATAGCATCCGTCCTAAGGAAGTTTTAAATAAAAATTTTTACTCAACTGATAACCGCAATGTGTCAAAATTTTTATTCAATCGAATTATTATTTAGCGAAACTGATATTTCACAAAATTATCATATAATCAAACTGCCATGTAACCAGAATTGAAACGTAACAGAATTAGTACTTAATCAAGCTGTCATGTAACAAAATTGTTATTAAAAAAATTTGTCATTTAATCTAAGAGCCATAAAATAGAATTGTCATTTTATCGAACTGACATTTAACGAATAGTCATTGTTCAGAGAATATATTTAGTCAAATTAATTGTTGTATTTGATTTATTCAAATCTTGTTAAGGGGTTACATGGGTCAAAAAGGTCAAAAGTTACATATTGTTAGTTATCTTAAAGTACACTATAAAATAAGTAAGTTATAAAATTTTTCTTAATAAACATTAGAAATTAAGCCAATGGCAACAGGTTCTTTGAGACCTCTTTCAAAATAAGTGATTTTTCAGTAGTCACGATATTTAATGACTACTTTATCAAAAATAAGAAAACCAAATATTTTCTGGTAGTAGATGAGTATAGCTCGTGATTGAACGAAGGGTTTTTAAAAAAATTAAAATTTGAATTTTTGGTAGAATGTTTTGTCACACATTACGATTTTTGGGACCAATTAGACCATGTAAAATTGGTTGTAATGAATAGAAAAAAAACTACTTTGTTCAATCACTAGTCAATACTATGTAGATGAAATATGCCAAATTTTACAAAAATCGGTGCATTAGTTTTTGAGAAGTCGTGACTACCGACTTTAAAAATAAAGTTTTGAGAAAACATATTTCATTTTCTAGGCTCAAGACTATGAGTATTAAATTAAATATATAAAAAAATTTTAAACGAAAAAAAGGATCTGATTCAAGAAACAAACAGACTCCACATAATTTAACATGATAATTCTCACAGTACCAGATATCCTAGAGAGAAGCGGTTCGAATATCCATTAGATGTCCTAAGGACATCCAAAATATGTCTTGAGGATATATCTGGACGTCTATGGGATATCCTTATGATATCCCAAGAATATTGTCTACATTTTACACTGTCGTCTTGATTTTCTAAAATCTCTTTTAAAATATCTACTAGGACTTTTAAAGACTAAAATGCCAAGAAAATTTACTTCATTCAATGAACATTTAGTAAAATGTTAGTTCCGTCCAAATGATAATTTAGTTGAATCACAATTCTGTAACAAGGCAGTCGGGTAGATTAATACATTCTGTTAGATGAAAATTTGGTTAAATGACAGTTCGATTATTATGAGTCAATTTTGTTAAGTAACAATTGTGTAAAATATAGTTTGTAATATATATGAATCATTGTACATATCTTTTTCATGATAATAATAATTATCACTATCATGTAAATAGAGTGCCAAACTCTCGATGTGATCAAGTATCTTAGCAATAAGTATACTTTTGTATTTTTTAAAGTATTTGGTTTTTATTAATTACTTATATATGTATTTCCAAAAGTTTAAACTGCTTCTGTGTCTATTGAAAATAAAACTTTATTGCAATTTAAATAAAGCAAGCAAATAATTTTCCATAGAGAGTATTTACAGTATTTGTTACATATCCAGTAATAAATTTTCTTAAAAATCAAAACACTTAAAGTTTATTTATTATTTGGTTTATTTATTTCATATATATGAATCCAACAGCAATTAAAATTAAAATTTTTTAAATATGTCCCAGGGGTGCGTTCACGTAACTCTCACCCTCACCCTCACTCTCACTCAAAAATTTTTCTCTCTTACTCTCATTCAAAACTTTTTCTCTCTCATTCTCACTCTCACTTAAAAATTATACTCTCACCCACACTCTCACTCTCCCTCAAAAATTTTTAACTCTCAATCTCACCCTCACTCTCACTCAAAAATTTTTCTCTCTCACTCTTAGCCTCATTCTCAATCTCACTCAAAAATTTTTCTCTCATTCTCACTCTCACTCAATATTTTTTCTTTCTCACTCTCACTCAAAAATTTTTCTCTCTCACTCTCACTCAAAAATTTTTTACTCTCACTCTGACTCCGAAATTTTTCTCTCTCCATTTCACTCTCACTTAAAAATTATACTCTCACCCATACTCTCATTCTTCCTTTAAAAATTTTTAACTCTCAATCTCATCCTCACTCTCACTCAAAAATTTTTCTCTCTCACTCTCAGCCTCATTCTCAATCTCACTTAAAAATTTTTCTCTCTCACTATCACTCAAAATTTTTCTTTCTCACTCAAAAAAATCTGGCAGACCCCTGCAGGGGCGGCCACATTCTAATCTCAACGTTTTGAGACTTTCTCATGCCGAAAAAATGGGTCTTAAAAAAATGTTTGTCTGTATGTATGTCTTTTTGTATGTATGAATGTATGTATGTATGTATGTATGTATGTATGTCTGTCTGTCTGTAGACAAATTTTGTCCGACGATAACTCGAACAAATTTCAATGAATCGACTTCAAATTTGGTATACACTTTAAGTGTACCAAAATCTCGCCTGAGTTCATTGGCCAGATGATTTCGTCAAAAATCAAGAAAATTATTCAAATTTTGAGTTTTTAAAAATTTCAAAAATTCGCATTTTTCAAAAAAAAAAATTTCAATTTTTTTTCAAAAATTACGTCTAAAAATAAACACTTTTTTCCTTTGACAATTTTTAATAGCGATTAAAACAAAAAAGTTATACCACTTTTTTAAAAAAAGACAAAAAATGACAAACACGGATAAAAAATGTGTAAAATGCAGAGCAAAATCACTTTAGTTTGAAAAAATGTGTTTAAATATGTATTATTTCTCTTTAAACCACCTTAAATTAACATAAATTAAAGTAACTTACTCATAAAATACCGATTTTTTTTTAATTTTTAATTAAAAATTAATTTTTTACATTCTCATCATAATGAGAAGGTATAACATTTGGGCAATTTTGAGCCTTCTCTAATTCCATAGTCCAGTCTATGGGGCGTGAAAAAGACCAAATAAAAACAATAATTCGGAAGTCAAAAATTTTTTTTGCAATCGATGGGGGGCATTTTACTGAATATAAAACCAAGTTTTCGAATGTTGGGGGTGGTAAATTTTTCCGCCATCTTGAAAAAAGAGAAATTTTTTAAATTGCAAATATTACAAAAACTATCACTTTTACGTGAAAAATTGTGAACATCAATTTTGTAGAGCTGAAAATTGCCTACAAAATTTGTTTAAACAATTTTGTCATATGATGAGTAGTTTTTATGTTATATTAAAAAAATCGAAATTTAATCGCATAAACTCCATTTTTACTATTTTTTGCAAAACTGATACAATTTATTGCAAAATTAGTCCTATTCAAAAATAAAGGCATTATAAAACTTTGCAACTTTGAAATTAACTTTTTTTCCATACACAAATTAGGAAAGAGTGGGGAAGGCTTCGAAGTGCGCAACTACCAGAAGTGCGTTTAACATATTATGTGACGCTCCACGGTGAAAGGTATCTATCTCCCCAAATGCATTAGGCTTAGTTCTCCATGTACGTGTAAGGAGAAATGAGCCTAATGCATTTGAGGACCAAAACTTTTAATTGCAAAAATTTCTAAAATTATCACTTTTACGTGAAAAATTGTAAATATAAATTTTGTAGAACAAAAAAACCTACAAAATTTTTATAAACAATTTTTTCATGTTGAATATTTTTATAAATAATTAAAAAATTTTTTATTGTAAAATATGAATTGTTACCATTTTTGCACATGTGGTATAATTAACAACGATATAAATCATTTTGAAAAATATTCTATCTGTTTTAATTTTATGTTTTTTTAATTTGCAATAATCATTTAATTTTTCATTTGTGGACTAGGCCTATGGGGAAAACCACATCTAAAAAAACTCACCAAAACTATACCTCAAAGGTGGTGCAAAAATGAGTTTTGATATTTTACAATAAAAAAATTTTTAATTTTTAATAAAAATATTCAACATGAAAAAGTTGTTCATAAAAATTTTGTAGGTTTTTTTGTTCTACAAAATTTATATTTACAATTTTTCACGTAAAAGTGATAATTTTAGAAATTTTTGCAATTAAAAGTTTTAGTCCTCAAATGCATTAGGCTCATTTCTCCTTACACGTACATGGAGAACTAAGCCTAATGCATTTGGGGAGATAGAAACCTTTCACCGTGGAGCGTCACATAATATGTTAAACGCACTTCTGGTAGTTGCGCACTTCGAAGCGTTCCCCACTCTTTCCTAATTTGTGTATGGAAAAAAAGTTAATTTCAAAGTTGCATAGTTTTATAATGCCTTTATTTTTGAATAGGACTAATTTTGCGATAAATTGTATCACGTGGAAAGGTTCCGCGGAATCATTCCGCGGAGTTTCCGCAAAGTAATTCCGCGGAGTGGCTCCGCTGAATTTCCGCAAATTTTTTTCTTCATTATTTTTATATGAAAAACATAAAATTATTTTCCAAACGATGTTGAAGAATTTAAACATGACAAAAATAAAACATCAGGTCGACAATTATCTACCTGCTGTCCAGGTAAATCTAGGTCAACTTTTTCCGGGATGTACACTTCAAATATGAAAAATGATAAACCAGGTCACAATTTGTCTATCAGATATCCAGGTGAATGTTTTGAGCAAAGTTCCCCTCAAATAGTAAAAATAATAAACTAGGAGGTTACAATTGGTCTATCCAGATAAATTTCTGCAGGTAATTTCAACTCAAATAGTAAAAATAAAACTTAAACAAGTATTTAGGTTAATTTGAATCAACAACTCTATATAGCCTACAATAAGTTTTATTAATTTTTTAATTTTTGAAAAAATTGTACCATCAAATGAACATTAATATTAATTAAATAATTAAACTGAATAACTTTTTTTACTTTTTCGGTTGCGTTTTATGGGCATGTTTTACTTTTATTTCTTTTAATTTAGAGCGAAGACTATCAATTACTGCCCGATCATTGTTCGGCCTCCATCCATTCTTCCTTGCTACATTGATACAATATTCTGTTAAAAAAAATTTTCCAATATTAATTCTATTGTTTTACACAACTTATTTAATAATAGTAAGTTTTAAGATTAAGAGTAGTCAAGATGGCGAGCAAATATTGTCGAGAAAATTCCCTAACATTACCTCGACCATTTTTTTATTTTAGGTTTAAAATTATCAGAAACCATCCGAGAAAAGGAAATAAAAAATAAGCAAAAGTTGATAGCACTTTTGGAATAAAAGTAATTAAGATCCACGCAGTAAATAAACATTCTCTAACTTTAAACATAATTTTACATCTCTATGTCTCCGAACGACACTATTTCAACTCTAGCTAGCTCCTGAATTTTATAGTAACTCTGGCGCGCTTCTATATTTTGTATTATTTCTGTAGAAAATCATATCTAGTCCTACCGAAAAAAGAGAATGAAGGAATGGGGAAAAAATTATAATTTTTTTTAATAATTAAAATTAATTAAATTATTTTTTTAAAAGAATCGACAAAATAATAAGTGTCATAAAGTGTCATAAAATTTTAAAGAAAAAATTTAATTTGAGAGAAGGCAACGAATCGCAAAGAGTCGAATCGTCGACTGCGCTGTTGCCACAAAATACAAAAGCGCTTCAGAGTTACTACAAAATACAGGACCTTGCTAGAGTAGAGATAGTGTCGTTCGGAGCCATCGTTTTTTTCCCTGATTTTTTTCTGACTATAAAAATTGTCTGACTGTTCTCAATTTTCCTGGTCTCTCGCCTCCCTGCAATAAGATTGAAATTTTAATTACTTAAAATCACGTCAATGACAGAACTTGGAAGTCCTTCCTTGTTCTTTTTTGTTTCCAAATTATATTGAAGAAGTGCTTCTGCAGTAAAAATGTTGGACATTAGCATTCGCGCTAATGCATTATGCGATGTTGCTTTGCGTTTGCAGTCTTTCAAAACGGTTTTATCGATATATACATCGCTCTCTGAGATCAATTCAACAGCCTAAAAATAAAAATTAGTTTACATTAAATTTTATTCGTTATATTTTTAATCTACTTATTATATTTATTTTTATTCATTGCCCAAGTAGCACGTAATATTACACAAATATTACCAAGTAATATTACTGCAATATTAAAATGTTCCCACGGTTGTAATATTAAAATCGATGTTATCATAAGACTACAGGAACATTACAGAAATATTACGCGGTAATGTTACTATAATATTACAGTAATATTTTGGGAACATTGCTGTAATATAATACGATTGTCAAAGAAATTTAATAAAGTGTCAATGTAATCAGGAAAAAAGGAAAACTTTTCTTCTTTAATCATTAGATATGGATTTTGCTGCAATTTTTATTCACTATAGATTACCGCGTAATATTCCAGTAAGAGTGCAGTAACATTACCGTGTAATCTCACTGAATTTTACCGTTATATTACCATCGGGGGGATATTTAAACTTGGAGAAATATTACTTTAATATTACGTGCTACTTGGATGGTTATTATTTTATTATATATTATTTATTTATATTTATATCTATTATTATATTTATTGATTCATACAAATTTATGTGAATTTGTATAGAATCTTTAAAGACATGATAATGGATGTAAATTAAATAGATATAAAGCATTTACCTTATCGCCGGCAGTACTTTTCGTAAATATGAACATATTGTTCTCTTCAACAACACCCTCTGTTTCCATGAGTTTAGGACCAGTGATGTTTTCTTTTTCAAGATGTTGTTCACCTTCACTTTCCTCATAGTCTTCGCTATAATTTTTCAAAATCGAATTGAAAGCAGTAGATGCGAGAGGCTTAGTAACTGCTTTTTCTTTTATGGATTTTGAAATTATTGAGGAATGTGGATTTTCCAAAAGCCAATTGAAAGATGTAGATGCCTGGTGCTCAGTTACTGCATTATTTAAATTTGACAATAATGGTGTGTTATCTTTAATTGCACTCGAAATTGATGAGAAGCGTAAATTTTTACCTTGGCTTCGGTCAACAGAAAAAGCGAGCTAAAAAATATGAAATTTCTACATTTTCTTTTTAGAAAAGTTTAGTTTTATTTATAGTCAGGAAGAGCAACAAAAGGAAAATGTTGATAATACTGTCGCAGAAAGAAAAAAGATTTACAAGTGAAATTTTATGTAAATTGAGTAATTGGTATCGTTGAATTAAATCCTAAAATATTAATTTTATAAAAAATTAATTGTTTAATTTATGAGGAATTTAGTTATTCCGTTTTAAGCGAGATTATACTAATTTCAAATCTGTATAATTTCGACAAAACTTGCCAGATTTTAATTTTTATCTAGTGAATTTTATACGATTTTTGCGTACTTTCCAATACAAAAACTCCTTTTTTATGAAAAAATTTTTAACTACTCTTTCTTCAAAAATAAACTTTATTTTTCAATTTTTACAAAAACTCCCTCTTTTTTTAATTTTTTATCACTTTGATTGAAAAGATGAGATTTTTTCCAACAAATTATGTTAATTTTAAAAATGGGATTACAATCAAGAAAATAAAAAAACCAACTTTTCAAAAACTTTTTGTTTATTTAATTGAAAACCCATTGTTGTCCCATTTTTTAACTTTACATAATTGATTGGAAAAAATGTCAGCTTTCCAATAAAAAAGATAAAAAAAGAAAAAAACAGGTAGTTCTTTGTAAAAATTGAAAAATAAAGTTTATTTTAGAAAAAACAGGGGTTAAATAATATTTAAAAAAAAGAGTTTTGTAATTGAAAAGAACACAATAAATGCTTTAAAATGTACTATATGAAAGTTACAATCGCCTAATTTTTGTAGAAATTATGTTAATTCTTAATTTGATCAAAGGAAAGTTCCTTAATATCTAATTGTTTTGATTGGATCAGTTCACGTATGGAATTGCTCGTGTTTCAATTTTTTTTATTGCAAATCTATTATATTTAAAATATCTTTTAAAATGATATTTTGAATGAATAATAAAATAATATACAAATTATTTTAATAATTAATTTCGTTTGCAAATTATGAAATAACACATTGCTACTACTTAAAAAGTGATTTTAAATTAATAAAATTTTTATAATTTATTAAAGTTCATACTCCTTTTCATAATTTTTGTTTTTTTAATTTTTGGATTATCTTTATTTTAATATTTCTAACTTTTAAACATTGTATTAATATTTTCATAAATTTTAAACCTACTTTTTTTAAATCCTCTAAAATCTTAGTTAACTGTTTGTTAAGTTGCAATGCCTCTTGAATTTTGTCAAAAATTACATTTGAACTTGATTCATCGAAATTTGATTGATCCTGTAAAATTAATTAGGAAAGGCAATAAATTTTAAAATATTCGTTAAAATGCAAATAAATAAATAAACTATTTTATTATATTTAAAATAATAATACCTCACTTTCAGAAAAAGAGTCGCATTGAAGTTTTCGTTTCTTTGCCTGACTTCTTTTTCCAGCTTCCTTTAATTTTTGATTTTGCAGTGTTAGCAATTCTTTCTCGCTGTCTGTAAATAAATTTTTAAGCATATTACAATTTTTAAAATTAATTTTGAATTCTTAAAAATTAATAAAAAAATTTTAATATAAAAATTAATATTAAAAAAATTGTTAACCCTTTCAGGATTTTTAAAATAACTGTTGCTGTATAATGTGTTTTAAAAATGTTTAATTATTTATGTTTGCGTCATTAATCGTTTTATTTATAGTAAAACTAAGGAATAAAAATTACATTTTTCATGTACAATATTCAAATAAAATCGTAAAAAAAAATATGTAGTTACTTTTAAATTAAAATATCCATTTGAATTATAATTTAATGATTTTATTATTATATGGTAAAGACGAAAAGGATTCAGTAAATTTCCAATCCATTGAAATTTCCTAAAATCTTTTATCTAAAGATAGAAATTTTTCGCTATCTCATTTTTGAATTTGAAATTAGAAAATTTTAATTTCAATAAAATAATAATAATTATGATATAATGAAAATAATAATTAAAAGTTAGGTTGCTAAGAGAATAAATAATAAAAAAAATTATGGCATTCATATAAAAGCATAAACATACTTGACATGCCAATTATGGTTCCCGTGTAACGTTTTTGCACTGCAGAAAATTCTGGCCAAAGATACTTGATGGTTATCCCACGTTTCAGTTCCGGAATACTTGAATCGAAAATGACTGACATTTTATTTATAATTGTGAAACAACCATCGCCCTCAATAAGAAGTAATTCTTGATCCATTTTTCAATAAAAAAAGTTTAATTTTTAAATTGAATAAATTTCACGATTTGACTAGCAGCAAATTAGATGAAAATGACATCGCTTTTATATTTTCGTTCCTATTTTGTTTTAAAATGCAAACGTAACAAATAAAAGTTAGCAGCTAATTTCATATGATAATAACGAAAAAAGTGTGAAATTCAATTTCTCAGGTCATTTTATTTTTTGTTTCATTTAATTATTTATTATGAAATGGATACATATGTACAGGAGATACAAATGTATCTCCTGTTTCAACAAATAAACTAAGTATACAGATTTTGTTTAATTTTCATATTTGAACTTACATTATGTGACATTCAAAAATAAGAAAATAAGAAACGCCGAAATTTTTTTTTTTAAACCACATTTTGTTTAAATTTTGTTTAAATCGTAAAATAAACTTTCAATGTTCAAAACTGAAGCATTCGTTTCTTCTGTTAAATTTAACGCTTCAACAATACTATTCTGTAAATTAGCTTCACGTTTAGTTCTTTCGTCTAACTCTTGTAGTAGCAATTTTGCCATATCAATATTATCTTGTCTTGCTCTTGAGCGATATTCTTGTCGTTTTTCTTCATACTGTTCCTTTTCTTCTTTCATTATATCTTCTATCGTGATTCCGTTCTCTTCCATTTCTATTTTCATCTTTTTCATTTCATTCTGTACTATTTTCTGCGATTCTAAAAATTTATTATTTATAAAAATCAGTGCATTATATATAATATATTGCATTATATTATATTTAAACATAGTGAGAAAAATTTTGAGAGAATAAAATATATTATTAGTATTTATTTATTATTATCTCTTTCATTACCTAACATGATTAAATATAATAAACAAACAATAATTTGAAGAAAAATAATATATATTAACCTTAAAAGAAAGTAAAATTTTTAAAGTAAAATGATTTTATCACTCGGTCGATATTAATTAAACGTTAATAATCAAATTTTATATTTTCAATTTTTAAAGTGAAGTTTAGGAAACAGCTAGGACACTTTTAAATTAATATTGAATTGTTAACAATTGAATAAGTTAAAAGTTGTTTTAATAACTGCATTTTTTTACAAATAAGTTATTAAAAAAATGTGTAATTTGTATATTTGAGAGACGACCTTTAAAAAGATATTTTGTCAATTACTTTATTATTGAATTCAATTATAAAATACTAATATAATTAAAGAACTATATTTTAGATTTTTTTCAAAAACCAAAAATTTTTGCAAATATAATGCAGTGCTAGAGACATAATTTTTAAAGCAAATGAATAGTTAAAGAAATTCAAAATTTGAAAGTATACATATATTTTTTATATATATATATGTAGGTTTCAAAATATCTAAACTACTTACCCGATTCCATAATGATTTTTCCAATTTTAATTTTTGAATTTGTTTTGTCTTCAGGATACGGAAACTGAATTTTTGCCCCGATTTTTATTTCTGCTTCATCGGTCACTAGTAAACTGTTTTTTCTCACTATATAAAATTCAGCATCTTTAGTGAAACATTGTAATAAACACCAACGATTGTGTTTAGTCATTATACTTGAATAGTTAATTCAAATTTAATAAACAGATTTAGTTTATACTGGTTTATATCAATGTTTATTTTTGTTTGCTTTTGACAGGTGGTTTTTAGTTTAGGTTAGGTAGAGGTTTTTAACTTAAGGTGTTATCACATGTGTGTAGAACCTCTATAGCATTAAGAATTTAAAAGGAATTGCCTTTTTCATAGTCCATCTTTTCAAAAGAAAATATATCGTTTTCATAATAAATCTAAATTGAAAAAGGCCAAATAGTACTTTTGCAAGTGAAATTATTAAAGGGACTAGATAAAAATGAGGGTACGGTCACAGCTCAGCTATCTAAGATAAGAGTGAGAGAAATAGGAATATTTTTTATTTCTCTCACTCTTATACGTTGCTATGACGACCCTACTTAGATAGCTGAGCTGTGACCGTACCCTGAACAAATTGCTTCTCGGACAAGAAAATCCAGAATTGTGTCATTTCAGTTGGCAGCACTGAACATAACAAACAGACCTAGACACCTGTTTTGTTTCGTGGTATGGTTAGGTCAACCGGTGGGTTAGCTTCGTGATTTACACGTGTTGGAAACGGAAATGTGCAAAACACAAAGTGAATTTTAGTTGTTTAATAAAGTTTTTCGTGTGTCGTTTAAAGTTGTAAAGGACATAACATTTTTATTACGGAGATGATTTGAAGGTAAGAAAAAAACCATTTAATATATTAAATATTACAGGATAAGTCTAAAATAGATAGAGCAACGCATGGGAAAAATTTGACAACAACGCTTTTCTTCGAGCGTTGCCATTTTAGACTTATTCTCTTGCTTGCAATTGTTTATGTAAATTGCCTTTATTAAAAAACAAAAAAATTATTAAATGTATTTAAAATACATAAAATCTGCTTTCAACTTAGGCAAATTCCACCGATGTACTAATGTAACAGACGCAAGAAATTTTTTTTGAAAAATGACAATTTTTGTAGTTTACAAATTTAAGAAAATATGTCGCATTCATAAATATTCGTTTGTTACCTTAGTAACCTAACAAAAACTTCGGAGGTAAAGAGCAGATTAATTTCAATGATTGTCTAAATATAAAAATTACATTTTTTATATTTTATATATTTAGTTAAACTCTTTGCTGGTAATGAGATTGACTTGTCACATGACACAAGGGACTGCAAACAAATAAATGAGAAGAATTCACGCTGTCTCTTTTTGATGTTCTCGTTCGTGTTTGAATTTATGAAATATAACTTCTCTACTGCTGCATTCGTAAGTTCATTCTCTTTTGGAATATTTTTTATGTTTTAAAAATTAGACTTTTTAATTATTAATAATTAATATAGTATACCTCTTCATGCATAAAAATTGTAATTTTTAACATAATTTAAAATCATAAATGTGACAAATTAAATAATTGCTTCCTCATAAAGAAAATATTATATTGGAGAAATTTTGCGAGTGCGATTTTTGGCCATATCTTTTAAAATTCCTTTTTAATAAATATATTTAAAAATAATTAACATGTATTTAAAATTTGAATACATTATTGACATTTAAAAAAATCATACTTTTTTATTTAAAAATTTTCTTATTAACTTTATACTATTATGGGTAAATTGTAAATTTTTTAGAAACCCATCAGTTTATCTATTTGTGAATAATCTAGTGTTTTTTTATATACAATTACAAGCCTTTTATAAATTGAAATTTTTTTATTCATAATTAAACTCTTTATAATACCCTTAAAATATTATAGCTCTCTTATAAAAAATTTTAGAACGCATCTAATGATCTATTTCGTGAATATTTTTATATAAAATATAATCAAGTGATTGCCGTTTGAAAAATTATAAATTTCATAAAACGTCAATTTTTTGTTTTTAAATAAATATTTTAATATCTATGAGAAAGCACAGTAATCATGAAACGATAACAAATAAACATATGTGAAAATACACGTGAAGGTAGTAAAACTTGGCAGCAATTTTTTATTGTTAATTTAAATGCATTAGACTATATACATATGTGTCATAACAAGATGAAAATTCTTTGAAAAAATTAGAAGTGTTGTGTAATTTTTAAATTTCGAAAGCGTAGAAATAATCCTACCTAAAATTTGTATTCTATATCTTACTTTGAAAGTCAAATTTTTAAGAGGTTTGGTGTCATTCTGCTTAAAGAATGACTTATTGTTTAAGTTAAAAAATTTGTTTAACCATTAAAAAATATTTGCAGATAAATATGGTCGTTCTAACCAATATCAAATTAAGCAAATTCTAATTGTTTAATTGGAAACAAAAAAGAAAAAGCAGAAATATGGTAACACTCTATTAATAGTAATTACTATTTTTTCTCAATATTCCCAAGTGCATTTGAATATATTCCTATTACTTTTAGATCTCAAATAACGAAAATGAAAGCACATCGTCCCTATCATCGCAATTTCAAGGTGAAAATGATGTCATGACTGAATCTTCTATAGTTGTACCATCAACTTCTACAAGTAATTCCTCACTGTTAAATTTTAATCAAAATGTAATTGATTATGATGTTCCTGAGCAACAAATTAGCCCCTTTCGTCGTTTTTCTACTTGTCAACCATATTCATCGACACCTGAATCATCTGTATTAACGTTTAATAACGAAGATAATGATATTGATAATATTAGTGACAATAACCATACTGACGATAACGGTAGTATCAATAACGATAATAGCGATATTAATGACGATAATGATAACAGCAATAACGGTAGCGACCATAATGATAATGATATTGATAATAGTAGCGAAAATAACCATACTGGCGATAACAGTAGTAGCGATAACGATAGAAGAAATAACGATAATAGCGATATTAGTGACGATTGGGATAACAACAATAACGATATCGACGATAATGTTAGTAGCGATAATGACAGATTTGCTAATAATGAAAACGATTGGCTCAATAACCCTATTTATGATAACGCAAATATTTGTGGAGGTGATGCTTTAAATCAGATTTTAAAAATATATGTTTCAAACCGATTAACGAAAACAGCTTTAGGGGATATGTTAAGTTTAATAAATAATTTATTACCTGAAGACCACTCACTTCCAAAAACAAAATATAAATTAACAAAATTAATTGATAAAGTTTTACCTCCTGTGCAGGCGAATTTTACAACTAAACACAGGATTTGTGCAGACTGCCTTAACTATGTAGGAGAATGGTCAGATTCTGTAAATGTGCAAGTTTGTTTGCGATGTAATAGTAGAAAGTTGGACAGTTTTTTTCTAGAATTTGATATTGAAACAGAATTACGTATTGCTTTTGAAGTGAGGGATCTTCATTGTTTAATTGATTCCTTTCAAACCGATTGTTTAGGAAGAAATCCAGAATTGGTGACCGATTTGATATCTGCTTCTGAATATCGTCGTTTAAAAACAATTGCCATTCCTGGAGAATATGATCTTTTCATGATTTGGTTTACTGATGGTGTACAAATGTCCAAAAGTGGAATAAGTCAGATGTGGCCTGTATACGCTCAAATTGTAAACATACCGCCACGTTTTCGAAGGAGTTTCCAATTTGTGTGTGGTATTTTTTACCGTAACGAAGGCATAAAAAAACCAGACATGAACTCATATCTCCAACCTTTTTCTTTGTCTCTAAATAATTTATTTGTAAATGGATTTGAATGGTTAAATCAAAAGTTGCAGCGTAAAATCAGAAGTAAAGTACTTGCGCCTATTGCGATTTTGGATGCTCCTGCTCGAGCATCTGTGCAAAACATAAATTATTACAATGGAGAGTATAGTTGTGCAAGTTGCGAGGCAAAAGGAGAAAGTTGTCCAACTGGAGCTGGTTGGAATTGGATTTATCCAATAGTTCCAGAAGAACCTCCTTTAAGATCCTCTGAAAGAATGGAGATTCAAACCGCAATAGTTGAAAAATACGAGAACTTGAAACACTTTAGAGGCGTTAAAGGTAGATCGGTTGTCACAAACATTCCTTACTTCAATAGGTCAAAGGGATTTCCCCATGATTATATGCACTCAGTGCTTCTTGGTGAAATGTTAGCACTTTTGACTTGCTGGTGTAATTCCAATAACCATGCAGAAGATTTCTATTTGACCAAAGAGAATAGAGATGAAATTAGTGAAATTTTAGTTAAAATATCACCGCCGGACGACGTGACACGAAATCCCAGATCGCTGTTAAAGCTGAAAGATTGGAAGGCTTCCGAATTCAGAGCATTCCTTGTGTACTTTCGGACCGATAGTTTTAAAAAATCGTTTTAAGAAATCGGAATATTTTGATCACTTTTTACTGCTTGTTAAAGCAATCCAACTTTTATCAAAAGAGAAAATTCTTCCGGCAGAAATCGATCTCGCGGACAGTTTATTACACAATTTACAATTAAGACTATTAATTATGATTATATTAAAAAGTTGGATTTAAAGTATATGTATGTTATTTATGTTATTATTCATGTAGTATTTATAAGAATATTCCTTTGTATAATTTGTGTAATATTTATATTAAAAATTTTACGCTTCTTAATTAGAGAGTTTTAATTTAGAAATGTTCATGTAATATCTGAGAAATCTGTGAAGTTCTTGAAAGAATTTTGTTTTCTTGAACTTTCTATGTTTATTTTAAAAAATTAAGTTGTTTTTGATTTCCAAAGTTATTCTGAAAAAAAATTGACATAAAAGAATTGGTTTATCATTTTTATTATTTGAGATGAACTACCTTGAAGAAATTGACCTGGATACCCGTCGGTAATTGGTGACCTCTTAATATTTTATTTTTGACTTGTTTAAACTTTTTAATATGGTTTAGAAATTGATTTTTCAAGTTTTTTATTCAAAAATAGTAAAAAGAACAATCTACGGAAATTCCGCAGAATGACTCCGCGGAGTTTCCGTGGAATCATTCTGCGAAGTTTCCGCGGAATCTTTCCACATCAGTTTTGCAAAAAACGGTAAAAATGAATTTTTTGCGATTAAAAATTTCGATTTTTTTAATATAACATAAAAACTACTCATCATATGACAAAATTGTTTAAACAAATTTTGTAGGCAATTTTCAGCTCTACAAAATTGATGTTTACAATTTTTCACGTAAAAGTGATAGTTTTTGTAATATTT